AAAAGACCAATGGCACTGCCAAAAATTTCAACAATCAAAATCTTGACAAAAAGCGATGAGTTGGCTGCATCTGCTAATGCTGCACCTGAACCCACTACACCAACAGCTATACCACAAAATAGGTTTACCAGACCTACGCTTATACCGGCAGCAAATATTAAATAGCCGGCCATCCAATTTTGATCCCTGATTTGTTGTGCAGTGTCTACATTGTCTGTGAACGATTCCAACTGGCCAGACATGACGATTGCAGTGATAAGTCCATAGATAGCCACTGCTTCACAGAAGATGACGGATATAAGATTTTTGGTCTTGATACGAGGCGCTTTCACGCCACCACCGACAATGCTGACACCGGTTGTGTGTATTCCCAATGCGGCTCCGACCACAGACAGGGCAACTGCGAGCGATATACCCAAYACAGCCCACATATAGGGCGATGTATTAGCCAAGAACCAGCCAATACTGATTTGCTCACCTTTACCGGCCAACAGATAGAACAGTATGATAGCCGACATCAATGTGGATCCCGTTCCGAAGATCGAATAACCCAATATCGCTCTCAGTCTCATTTTGGATGATTTATTATTTTATTGTCGATAAAAATGACGTTTAAGTCAAACGCAAGTGAAACACATTTAAGTACAAATTACAAAATAATAAAATCAACGCCAAAACTCAAAAGGACTCCGCCCCAAGTACGGTTTAGTGGTTTGGTTTAGATAGTTCGACAGTGTAATCAATTCTAGACGCTAAACATATGTTTTGTTCTAACAATAATTAGTATACCGCGGTATGCACTATGCTGTGACACTTGAGTTTATTACTTCCATGAAAACATGTTGCGCAGGATGTGGTTTTGATAAAAATAAAATATTTATTTCCCACTTTCCCAGTCGTGTCGACTTGCATGACACACAGTCATAATCTTGAATGAATGTAATAAAATTATAATTAACCCCATCTCAATGTTCATTAGTCATTCGTYGACTCGTCCTTTTCACTCATATTAGTCATATTAATCAATACTCAATAGTCACACTAAGTCACTTCTCACACCTCACACGTATTGTACTCGTAATTTGACTACAAGTTTTCTCTTTGTTAGTGGTTACTGGTTAGTCAATACTCAATAATTCAAGTTGACTGTCATTACTCTTWCAGTGTCTAACATATTTTATTTGTTTGCTTAGTGTTACATTACTTTTAATTCCAATAATTCATAAACATGAGCTACCCCGGATATCCTCCTAACAATCAGGTTAGTTTTTTTTTTAAATATTAAAATTTATCCTAGTCTACAACAGATACCAATAGGTATCTCTAATTGTATGGCTGTACCTAACTCTTTTTTACGAACAAAATATCTAACAGCATGAAGTATGTATAGAAGGTACAAATTTATTTAAATTTTTTTTAAATATTTTTTTTCCAATCCACATACTTCTACATTAATAGTCAATTAAGTAATTAATGTTTGCAAACCTTCTTGTATTACAAACCATTCAGTAGAGAATGCCTACCAATTTTATATCCAATAAAATTATATATGTTTAATATCCTTTCTCAATAGTCATTTACATCTAGGTTGTATCAATAATCGTGGACAATTTTATTATTATTACTGTTTAATATTTAGACTGTACAATATATTCAGTTGATTTTCCATTGATAATATAAAATATTTTCTAAGCTTTGGACTTTATTTAAGTCTAGCATGTATACACTATACAATGCACGTTCTATTATTATAACTATAACTTATGGGTGTTTAGTTTTATCTCATTAATATAGCATTTAGATTATGAAGTAGGATCTATTAATTATTAACATTTCAATTAGTCTTAATATTCTAATATATTTTATAGATACATTTATCTTTTGTTGTATATGATTGTAGTTAATAGTTTTCATAACTTTTATCAATAGTGGCGTGCAAACTAATAATATTCCAGAGGCGACCCCCCATGTAGTCACATATAAATACGCAAAACTCTTKATACCCACCCCCTAAAATTTGAAAAATTTCAGCAGCAATTGACTTTGAAATTACCCTTCACCACGCCACTGTTTATCAATGATTATTAGTACAATAGTACTAACAGTTGTATTATCTCTGATTTTTATAGCTAGTTCTAAGAATTTATTTATGATATAATGTTTTTCTCTTAGGCAATTTTTTTTATAGATCAAGTAAAATAAATTCTTATTAAAATATTGTCATTTAGGCTTATTTTTATAATATTGGACAGGGGTCTCCAAACTTTTTTATTGAAGGGCCACAAA